TTTTAGCTCCCATTCTGATACTTTTAGCTATAGTTCTGATCATTTTAGCTCCCATTTGCATACTTTTGCTCCCATTCTGATACTTTTAGCTATAGTTCTGATCATTTTAGCTTCCATTTGGATACTTTTAGCTCCATTTTTCATATTTGTAGCTACCATTCTGTTTGTGTTGGCGAAGCATTTCCTGCTGATACAATCACGTTCATTCGGTGAAAGCAGAGTGGTTTCTCTTGTGTCTTACCTGTGGGTCTCATGTAATACGCCTCTATGTCAGCCATGTCCGTGTGCAGAGCACAGTCCAGATAACTCTGGATAACTTTCCTGCTGTAGTAGTAGCGTGCGCCCATGAGAATGAGGGGGGCACAGCAGGTCAGCGTGACAGATTTGGTCACGAAAAAGCACAATACTATGGAGAAATGGAAGAAAAGTAAACGAAACCTGTCAGAAGAGAGAACCACATGTTTGATTTTTGGCAAAGTTTGAACCCAGCAGACAGAAGAACAAAGGCACAAACAATACGACAACATGAGTTCTTACAGAAAACACAGCACTAGAAATATTAGCGTTAATGTTTATTTCTTAGTCATTACTTCACACCAGGTTTTGACCACAGCTGCTTGCACAGATTCTCAGAAGTCACTAGAGCGTAGCTACGAGGTGACGAGGACTATTTCTTGAAATATACTGGCCATGTTGTGAACTCTGACGCTCTGAAGATGGTCTTTGCCAAGATAGTGTTCGTCTTTATTTGTAGTCTTTTTATTTAACATTTGAATGATGTGGTGGTCTGATTCCTGCGCTGGTTGTTTATATTTATGCATACGAAGTAAATGTGTACAGATGTGAGTTGGTACCGCTCAGATACACTGACAAACATGGCTGCTTGTTCAACAGCAAAGTGCACTTGTAAAGCTGGAAACAGGTGATCTATACATGTGTGAGAAAGACCCCCTGCCTTAACACATACATGCTTCCCAGTGGTTAATAACTCTTAGCTATGTCCCCAGGCGAGCAGAGGGTCCCTAAGAGCACACTAGTTGAAAGTATTAAAAAGATAAATACGACAAAGTTTGATATTTAAGTTAACAGAGCAGAGTGTTACTCCTGTGTTAATTTCTGCTGATTATAAATAATTTTCCGTGGTTACCTGAACACAACATTGAACTTGGCACTTTCCCCGGACTCCATCAAGTCTTTGTAACTATGTGGTCATTGCAAATGAGGGATGGGCTTAACTGAAAGAGGGCTCCAAAGTGAACATCTGCTTTGGGCCCTTTGTAATGAGACTCAGAGAAAACTTCGAGGAATCTTTGGAGCACGGTAAATTTGAAGAAACGGTCGTCATCACCCCACAGCTAGCTCCAATGACTTTCCAACACATCAAAGTCCATGCTCAATAATCCAGGTAAATAATCCAACAAAGTTCAGTCAGGTCATGTGGACGGTTTATTTTATTTTTTTGTTGGGACGTTTCATCCTTCATCCAAATAACTTCATCAGTCTGAGGAGCCACAACAAACTCAGTCCCACAAGCAGCACACTCCAACCACTTTGCTGGTGATAAGATGGTTTCTGGAGTCCGCCCTCTCCCCCGTCGAGTCCTCTGATGCAGCCATAGCCAAAGTGGTTCAAAACATCAAAGTTCATGCTCAGTAATCCAGGAAGAAAATCCAACAAATCACCATCAAACTGGTTGGTCCACTATGTGAGTGTGCTGCTTGTGGGGTTGAGTTCATTGTGGCTCTTCGGACTGATGAAGTTCTTTGGATGAAGGATGAAGCATCTCAACAACAACAACAAAAAAAAGAAACCCTCCAGATGATCTGACTGAATTTTGTTGAACTTTTCAACACCTTCACTGCTGTGGTCAGAAACTGTCGTGAAATAAAACCAGCACTAAAACTGATTTTCTCCAAGCTCCCGATTTTCAACTCGCGACTCTACAGATTCATTCGTGTCGCTTACAAAACGTTTGATCAAGAAAAGTTGGGGGTACTTTTCACACACACAAACACACACACAAAAAAAAAATGCAATAGACTGTGGAGTAAAAAACAATTGTTTCTTTTTGGATTTTAGCTCAAAGATGCTAAAGTTATTAGTCAGGTGTGACGCTAGGGGGCGCAAACTGACGCAAGCATGGAGATTGCGCATCGTGCAAGTTTCTCCTCAGCCCTCCAGAGAGATGACTTCTCGTTCTCCGTGAAACTCATACTGAACCTCTAAAAGGAAACATTCGAACCCTTCTGATATATAAAAACAAACAAAAACGAATTACTTTTAATTTGAAAAGCACATTATATACCAAAGAGCCAGATCAATGGATAACAGCAGCGTCAGCGCAAAGTGCGCGCCGCATGGGAGTGCGTTTTCTTTTCTTGGTACGTGGGCGCACCCTGTGGGACAATCTTCAAAATGATTCACTCCTTCAGTTCCCCCCCCCCCCCCCCCCATACACACACACACACACCCGGCATCACATCACCAGCATGCAGCATGCGCCCTGTGCCTTTTGTTGCGCGCGCCGGCTGAAAAGACGCGTAAAGCTGCAACAGATTTCAGCTGAACCGAGCCAGAATTTAAGACTTTAAAAAGTGCAGATGAAACATGAAAAGCTCTGAGTGGAAATAAAAGCGTCCTGTTTGGGTGATTTATCCTCACCTGTCAGAAGAGCATATAAAAACTGAGTCCTGGGCCGCTGCCAGATCCCCCTGAACGCAGTGTTGGGTATCCGCTCCATTATTCCCTCGTGAAAGATGCGCAGCGCCTCCTTTTCGTCCGCGCGCTCAAACTCGCGGATAAAAACCGCATCTTTGCCCGCATCCTTCGCCGCCAGCTCGGCGGGGCTCGGGGCCGCGCCGGCGGCGGGCGGAGAGCTCCACATCATGGGCTCTCTTTTGGTCCCGGCGGCGGGTAGAGCGTCGTGTTCGTCCGCAACAATCTTAGTCTCGCAAACCATTTTGGGAGACGAACAATGCATGCAACTACAGTTCAGAGGGGGGGCCCGGGGGGGTGGGGTTGGAGGTGAGGGGTTGGAGAAGAAAGAAAGCTGGATTAATTAGTGAAGGAGGGTTCAGGTTCTCCCCTTTAAAAAATAAAAAAAACAGCAAAAATGATGGTGAGGATGGTGATGATGAGGATGGTGGTGGTGGTGGGGATAAGACGAAAAAGGGGGGAGGGTGTTCTGCTGCAACCCTGAGAGTTTCTGGAAACCGAGACTTGCCGGTGCTGCTCAGGCGGTATTTATAGGCGAGCAGGGCGGTGCTGAGGGGGGGCTGGGGGAGGTCCTTCCGCCGCTCACATTGGACGCTATTGGGTGGGGGGGGGGGGTCTGAGCTGCTCATGTGTGCGGGTTAGGTGTGTTTTGGGACAGAAGATGCGCGAGGAAGTGTTCTGAAACACCTAGATGTTAAAACAAAAGTCTGGGTGAAATCAAGATGAAATGAAAAGCAAATGAAGGAATGCATATCACCCGCCATCTGTTGTGTCAAAGTTATTCATTCATTCTTTCAACCTTTATTTATACAGGTTAGTCCCATTGAGCCGCTCATTTACAAGAGAGACCTGATTTTAACAGAGTGACGACAACAATAGACAATCATAAAAGATGCGTACAAACTTTATTTTTGCAACAAGTGAAAATAAAATGGTAATGAAGGAAAAGTAGCAACGACAAAAACACATCTGGTTGTAAGGTGGTGATCATCAGAGACATGAGAGTTGAAGCTGTCTGGGTCAAGTCTTGAGAACACAGTGTTGGGTTCCACATATAGACTGACTGGCACGTCATGTGGATGACTCTCAGCTACTACCACAGCAACCTTTAGCTGTTAAACTGACTGAGTTATGGACATTTTTGTGTTGGCTCATTTTGACTATAGTTGCGGTGGCCATCTTGAATCAGGGTGGCTCCAAACGTCCATCACTTGTATTTATTTGCACGTCCAGCGATTACTTCATGGAAGTTTCATTAAAATCCAAGCCGTGGTTTGAAAGATATTTTGCTAACAGACAAACAGTTGATTTGAATAGTTCAAGTTTTAAACAACAATGTTGCAATCAGTTAGTGCTCAGAGTATGTGTTGGGGATGACTCTCAGCTACTACCACATGGCATCTGTCAAACTGACGGAGTAGCCGTACTTAGTGTTGACTGAGGTTTTAGCACTTGCAGACATTTTTCATTTCATTTTTCAAACATGGATGGATGGATGGATGGATGGATGGATGGATGGATGGATGGATGGATGGATGGAT